TTGCTAATAGAAAGATAGCAGCCTGTAGAAAATGCTGGTTCTCTGAGACCTTGAGCCTAGGGCCTGATCTGGATTATATATGGGGATGTTATAAGTGACTGCACTTGCCCTACTAAGGACTATTCTTGTTACTCACTGGTGCTCGATTTGGAAGTTCAGGTGCCCAGTGAACCAGTCATTGAAAAAGGACTGTTCAATATTACAGGTGGCCAAGACCTGCAAAGAAAAAGCTTGTATTAGTTATAAATGAGCCCAAGTGTCAAACAAAGAAAATATTTGAGACCACCTTTGCAAAATTATGACAGTAAGATAAATCTGACATAGTTGACTACATCTTGCTTCTGATCTCCAGGCTGTCCTTTGTAATTCCTGGGTGTAGGCTAAGCTGACTTTGGGAGGAACTTATTTTGTAGTTTAACCTTAAAGCAAGGATGATAGTAGCCCTTCCCAAAACTAAACTGCTTTTGTATAACTAATAAAAGGCCATAATGTTAGGATTGTGAGAGGGGCCTGAATTCTGCTAAGATGGAGGCATAGTTTCTATAATTCTTTACTGCTCAGGAGTCATGCGGCCAGAGGTGACAGGATTTGTGACTTTCCCAATTGTGCTTGTAGATAACATCACTATTATAGAACCTAAGATTAATTTTTTGAGATGTTTTTCAGACTGTCCCCACTCGGACCCATGCATGACTCATGACTTGATGGGTTCTGTGGCCCCACCCAAAGGTGGACTGGGAACATTCTCCACACCCCTATAATTTCTTCCCCAACCGTCAACTAGCACCCATTTCCTAGCCCTCTTCCCATCAAATTGTCCATTGATACAGTTTGCCTGTGTCCGCACTCAAATCTCATCTTGAATTGTAATCCCCATAATCCCCGTGTGTCAAGGGAGGGACCGGGTTCTAAATCAGTGTGGTTAGAAAGATTCTCCCCGAGGAACTCCATCATTACCTGAGTGCTGAGCCAGTCTCGGTTCTCCTCTGTGCTCATTCTCATTGGTATGTGGCTCATCTGGGTAACATATGCAATCCAAGGACTTTCAAGAAACCTTTTGGAGGAATAAAAGGAGGAAGTGATGACTGTTTAGGGTGTTTCAGTAGCAAGCACTGGGCTTGCATAACCCCTGGTAGAACTGGTTGAGCACTGGAGGAAATGAAAGAGACTCAAAGTTTCCAGTAAAATGGTGATCTTTCTTTTTCTTCTCTGAAAGACCTTTATATCAAGAGATGACACACTAAGCATTCAGCCACATGACTGCCAAATGTATGGGAGCAGAACCTCTAAAGTTTTCTGTAGCTCTAGTGCAAAGATCAAAACCACTAGGGAAATTTAAGGGCACATGCAAACTGGTTGACAGCCTGGGCTTTGTCGTCAGATAAGAGCTGGATTCAAGTTCTGTTTCGGCACTGGCCTTGGCTCTTACTTGCTCTTACATGCCCTTGGGCCTATGATTTAATCTCCTTAAACTTCAGTTCCTTTAGCAGAAAAATGAGCATGATACTATCTACACTGCAGCATTGTGTGAGGATTACATCAAATAAGATAAAGCATGTAAAGCCTTTAACAAAGTGTCTGATGCATAGTAGCTATCATTATTCTTATAATTATTTAGGACTTAGAATAACTTGACAACAGAATGAGGGAGGATTACATTGGAAAAGTGGAGAGGACTATTCAAACAAAAATGCATTGGGAAAACCTCTAGTCATAAAATAACTTAAAAAAAAATTCCTTCCCTGTCATTCTTTGGTAGGGATTACTATGTCTACCTAGATTACAGTTTTAAGGATTTAGGATTCAATTGAAATGCTTCCTTTAAGAATCCAGGACGTGGGTAAAAATGGGGATTGGGCAAATTTTTTTTTGCAAAGGGCTCGTCTTATTCAACTATTTGAACTATTTTTTTTTCACATTTGCTTAAAAACACCTCAGCTGCAAGAAATGGGGCATGATGTCATAATCTAATCTGTTTTAAAACTGATGACAAATAGCTCTGATGGGGAAGGATCTGACAAGGATCATTTGGATTACCGAAATAAAATAGTATTCTTACTTGACCAAATAGATGAGCAACACAGTCCCAAAGATTCCATAGTATGGGCCAAATGTGATGAAATATCGGATGTAAAAGCTGCTAACCCAGGCGATGTCCTGCAGAGAAAAGCACTTGAAAGTTATACACCCTGAACATGATTTCATTTCTGCTTCATTGGCTTGGGGTCCCTTCACATTCTGGCTGAATCTTATGCCTTGTTATTCAAGGAAGCTATATCTGGAGAGGACACAGCATTTTCATTTTCCCTCTTCTACTTGGTCTAGTTTCAGAGAATGAGCCACATTACTCACCACCCAATATCTTCGAAGGTACATCACTTGCATAGATTGCAGGTTGAAATATACTGGCATAAGGAGTGGGAGCCCAACTGAAATAGAACAAAAAATGATGCTGAATAAATAAACAGAATGTGTTCATGTGTATTTAATGTTTAGCTCCCACGTAGAAGTGAGAACATGCAGTGTTGGGTTTTCTGTTCCTGCGTTAGTTCACCTAGGATAATGGCCTCCATCTCCATCCATATTGCTGCAAAGGACATTATCTTATTCTTTTGAATGGATGTGTAGTATTCCGTGGTGTATACGTACCACATTTTATCTAAGCAGTCTACCATTGATGTGCATTTAGGCTGATTCCGTGTCTTAGCTATTGTGAGTAGTGATGCCTCCTGAGACACACAATTTATCTGTATAACAAACGTGCACATGTACCCTTGAAACTAAAATAAAAGTAAAAAGAGGAAAATCACCTGTAATCTTACTACCCAAATATTACCATAAACATTTTGAATATAGATATATTAATATATGTTCTAAAAATTGCTATTATGCTACCTATAGTACTGTTTGGTACACTACCTTTAAAAATAAAGCATATCCTGACCATCTTCCCATTTCTCTAAATATTTTCCAGCATCCTTTTTTTTTTATTATTATACTTTAAGTTTTGGAATACATGTGCAGAACGTGCAGGTTTGTTACATAGGTCTACACGTGCCTTGGTGGTTTGCTGCACCCATCAACCCATCATCTATCTACATTAGGTTGTTCTCCTAATGTTATCCCTCCTCTAACCCCCAACCCACCAACAGCCCCTGGTGTGTGATGTTCCCCTTCCTGTGTCCGTGTGTTCTCATTGTTTAACTCCCACTTATGAGTGAGAACATGCGGTGTTTGGTTTTCTGTTCCTGTGTTAGTTTGCTGAGAATGATGGTTTCCCGCTTCATCCATGTCCCTGCAAAGGACATGAACTCATCCATTTTTATGACTGCATAGCTTTCCATGGTATATATGTGCCACATTTTCTTTATTCAGTCTAACATTAATGGGCATTTGGGTTGGTTCCAAGTCTTGGCTATTGTGAATAGTGTTGCAATAAACATATGTGTGCATGTGTCTTTATAGCAGAATGATTTATAATCCTTTGGGTATATCCCCAGTAATGGGATTGCTGGGTCAAATGGTATTTCTGGTTCTACATCCTTGAGGAATCACCACACTGTCTTCCACAATGATTGAGCTAATTTACACTCCCACCAACAGTATAAAAGCATTTCTATTTCTCCACATCCTCTCCAGCATCTGTTTTTTCCTGCCTTTTTAATGATCACCATTCTAACTGGCATGAGATGGTATCATATTGTGGTTTTCATTTACATTTCTCTAATGACCAGTGATTATGAGTTTTTTTTCATATGTTTGTGGGCTGCATAAATGTCTTCTTTTGAGAAGTGTCTGTTCATATCCTTTGCCCACTTTTTGATGGGGTTGCTTGTTTTTTTCTTGTAAATTTGTTTAAGTTCCTTATAGATTCTGGATATTAGCCCCTTGTCAGATGGCTAGATTAAATAAATTTTCCCCCATTCTGTAGGCTGCCTGTTCACTCTGATGACAGTTTCTTTTGCTCTGCAGATGCTCTTTAGTTTAATTAGATCCTGTTTGTCTATTTTGGCTTTTGTTGCCATAGCTTTTGGTGTTTTAGTCATGAAGTCTTTGCCCATGCCTATGTCCTGAATTGTTTTGCCTAGGTTTTCTTCTAGGGTATTTATGGTTTTAGGTCTTATGTTTAAGTCTTTAATCCATCTTGAGTTAATTTTTTATAAGGTATAAGGAAGGGGTCTAGTTTCAGTTTTCTGCATATGGCTAGTCAGTTTTCCCAACACCATTTATCAAATAGGGAATCCTTTCCCCACTGCTTGTTTTTGTCAGGTTTGTCAAAGATCAGAAGGTTGTAGATGTGTGACATTATTTCTGAGGCCTCTGTTCTGTTCCATTGGTCTATATATCTGTTTTGGTACCAGTACCATGCTGTTTTGGTTACTGTAGTATAGTTTGGTATACTTGTAGTATAGTTTGAAGTCAGGTAGCATGATACCTTCAGTTTTGTTCTTTTTGCTTAGGATTGTCTTGGCTATATGGGCTTTTTTTTTGTTCCGTATGAAATTTAAACTAGTTTTTTCTAATTCTGTGAAGAAAGTCAGTGGTACCTTGATGGGGATAGCATTGAATCTACACATTACTTTGGGCAATATGGCCATTTTCATGATATTGATTCTTCCTATTCTTGAGCATGGTATATTTTTACATTTGTTTGTGTCCTTTTTTATTTCCTTGAGCAGTGTTTTGTAGTTCTACTTGAAATGATCCTTTATGTTCCTTGTAAGTTGTATTCCTAGGTATTTTCTTATCTTTGTAACAGTTGTGAATGAGAGTTCACTCATGATTTGGCTTTCTGTTTGTCTATTATTGGTGTATAGGAATGCTTGTGGTTTTTGTATATTGATTTTGTATCCTGAGACTTTGCTGAAGTTGCTTATCAGTTTAAGGAGATTTTGGGCTGAGATGATGGGGTTTTCTAAATATACAATCATGTCATCTGCAAACAGAGACAATTTGACTTCCTCTGTTCCTATTTGAATATGCTTTATTTCTTTCTCTTGCTTGAATGCCCTGGCCAGAAACTTCCAATACTATGTTAAATAGGAGTGGTGAGAGAGGTTGTCTTGTGCCAGTTTTCAAAGGGAATGCTTCCAGCTTTTGCCCATTCAGTATGATATTGGCTGTGTGTTTGTCATTAATATCTCTTATTATTTTGAGATACTTTCCATTAATACCTAGATTATTGAGAGTTTTTTAGCATAAAGGGGTGTTGAATTTTATTGAAGACCTTTTCTGCATCAATTGAGACAGTCATGTGGTTTTTGTCATTGGTTCTGCTTATGTGATGGATTACATTTATTTATTTGTGTATGTTGAACCAGCCTTGAATTCCAACTTAATTGTGGTGAATAAGCTTTTTGATGTGCTGCTGGATTTGGTTTGCCAGTATTTTAGTAAGAATTTTCACATTGATGTTCATCAGGGGTACTGGCCTAAAATCTCATTTTGTTGTTCTGTCTCTCCCTGTTTTTGGTATTAGGATGATCCAGCATCTGTTTTGTGATTACTGTGTTGTATTTTTATAACGTACTTAATAAATTTATTAAATAAATCCAGTAAATGTATTTAATTAAAAAATGTGACCCCAATGCAAGTGAGCAGGAGTCTATCTCCTTAATGCAGCATTCCTGGAATGCTGGCCCCAAGGAAAGATGCAAGTGGAGATCCACGGCCCCTTCCTGGACTGCAATGGGCATTTCAAGTCTAAAAGACGGGGCTAAGAATTAGATCAGTAGCTCCAGGTTCAAGCTGCCTCAAAGAAGCTAGGAAAGCTTGGGAGATTTGAGTCATTTTTGATGAAGGCATCCCTGAACAGCTTCTGCTACCAGCTTTCAAGTGTTTTCAAGGTCCTTGGAGTCCTTCAGTCTCCCTGGATCTTTGGGATTTAGCCCCATTATAGTGTGTTGAGGTGTCAGAGATGAAGAAGGTATACTTGTTTCCTAGTCAGAGTTATTTACCTGCCTTTTCCCCAGCATCACTGAGGCTTCCCAGGCACAGAGGATCCTTAAGGAGATCCTCTGGCTTTTGACAAAGGCTGTCTCCCTGGTTAAACTTTAGTTAGGATCCTTTGAGCCCTCTTTCTCAACTAGGCCTCATCCTTGGCCTACGAGAATTGCAGACTCTCAGCACAAATGATTTCATCCACTCTCCACACTAAGAAACTTGAACAAACACTAGCATAGTTCCTCAAAGCTCAAGGCTGTCTCTCTGGGAGAATCCCAGCATCCTTGAAGTTTTTACCTGAGAAAGTTCAGGGCTGCCAAAATAATTTACTGTTTATTCTGGCAAGTGTCTGACTATAGGCACCTGACATCCCTTTTTATAGAGCATTTACTTTAGGACACTGACAATTATAAATCCTTTGTGTCTTCTTTTGAGATGTAGCTTCTACACTCCAGAAATGTATTTCTCAAGGGCCTGGTAACAATCTCTTTGAAATGTAGTCATCAAGAAGGATGGGGCTCTTATCTGTCAGTCTGTTTGGGAGGATAGGAGCCTAACTTTGATAAGTACCAGTTAGCAGACACAGACAGCCTGGACAAATCTTACCAACCAGCTCCTCCACCCCCACCCCATCTCCCAGTGTCTTTCAGTACTTTTCCTTTAGCATGCTCCAGCATTTAAAAAGCCTCTCTCTCACTTTTGCGTCAGGAGAATTAAGCTCGGTTTATGGTGAAGTCTCTCTCCCCTAGTGCGATAGCCTGAATATGATTTGTCTTGCTGCCTTTAACAACTGTCTGGTTTTGTTTCTTTTTGACAGTTTGAGTACGACTCATTTGTAACCGAGATGTTAAGCTAGCATTTGCCGGGCAAGGCCACAATAAAGCAGCTCTTGGTGGTGGTAGGGTGGTTTGTGAAGTGGGCATTTTGCAGTGAATTCACACCATTCCCTCATTTCTCATAGGGTAAGGGCATATTGTCCCACTTCAGACAGGGGAGGTAAACATATGTTTCTCAGGAGAGTTCAGAGAAGAAACTCCAACAGGGTTTTCTTTTCCAGACACACATCTAGTCAGGCTGGGAATCAGCTACCTTTTAAAAATGGGGCACCAATGTCCTCATTCCTCTTTTAGATTTTGCAAGAGCAGCGGGGCAGGTGACGAGTGCAGGATGGGGAAGGCTGAATTCCCACTGTAGAGGATCCAGCAGTGATGGTCGACCTCACACTTCAAAAAATTTGCCCCCTGCTATCTTCCTCTGGCATGATAGGGGTGGCCATTTGTGGCCTACACGTGGGCAAATCAGATCATCTGCAACTATGTTTCTCAAGCCCAGCACTGCTGACAATTTGGGTGAGATGATTATTTTTATGAGGGGCTTCCTTTGCATCGCAGAATGTTTAGCAGCATCCCTGGCTTCTATCTACTGACTACCAATACCTTCCCTCTTCCTCTGTTGCGATAACCAAAAAAATATCTTTTGATATTGCCCCGGGAGGCAAAATTGCTCTGGTTGAGAACAACTGGACTACAGGAAATGTTTGGTTCTTTCCCTGATTTTGGTTTATTCCCCAGATACATGTTTTAGTTGGGCAGATTTGGGGGTTTCTTGAAAGCTTTTTTTGTGAGCTGTTATGAGTTTGATATTGGTTAAGAGCAGTCTTTGCTTATGATGTTCTTTTACTGGTATCAGATTTACGCAGCTACCTGTATTTTCCTTCAAACTTGACCCACATGCCCACACTCAGATATATATGTCTCATGCCTTCCCACAGCTATATGCAGGTCATGGGAGCAGACAGCTTTCTTCCACACAAGAGCACCGCAGGTGCCCTTTGTTCCCCGGCCTCTCCATTTCTGGTGTCACACTGTCAATGCTTCAGATTTATCTCTCCATCTCTACTTCCTCCCTACCCAAACACCATTATTCTTTTCTCTTGATAGATGTTTGGTCTTTCCAGAATGACAGTCCTAGATGCAGGTCCCTTGACTGGCAGCCTGGCTTCCCTCCCTCACTGGGTATCTCCCTCCTTCCCCATCCAACTCTCAGAGTGATGAGGTGCTGTTTAAAAAGGCTGTTTATTTTTCCATTTCCCTTTGCAGATTTCCACCCCAGGGAGTCTGAAATAAGACATGCTGCTTTGCTCAATAGCAATAGGACGTGGGCCGGTCTCTGTGAGAGCATTCCAATTGTGACTTCTGCCTTGACAAGTACTTGCTTCAAGGAAATGGGATATAAGGAATGTGGCTCTGGGAGACTCACCCATGTAGAAGTACAGGTGCTGCTTTTCATAGTTGATGTATTTGATTTTCTTCTTGCCGTACTGAATGGAGAGAGAATAAAACAAAAATAAGAGACCATACTTCTGGTCATCACACTCAAGGATGCATGTGTGTGTGTGTGTGTGTGTGTGTGTATGTGTGTGTGTGTATGTGTGTGTGTGCACATGCTTGTGTGTGTCTAAAATCTTTATGGAAAGAGCCATCTGATCAGTGCTCATTAGCTTTCAAGTCTGAGGCACTAGAAGAACCAGAACCAGGATGGGAGGAAGAAATATTGTGGCCACGTCTTGCTTTCATTATATGTGGGTAATTCTATCACAAATGGAATATTCCATTGGACTGTAGGAATTGTATCATTTTTTTGTTCCTGTGGGAATCATTTTGAATTTTTTTTCCTCTTTATGTGAGGTGGAATGGTCACTGAAATGGGACATTTCTGAGTTTTTCTTGTGCTTCTTCAACTATGGCATTTAGGATTCTGCTCCATATTCATTCATTCATCCAACAGATGTGTGATTCATTCATCACAGTCAAGAATTTTCTTTTAAATTCATTCATCCAAAAGATACTAAATGGTAATACGATAAAATATATAGTCATGGCCCCTCCTGTCTGTCTCATCTTTCTTCTTTTATGTTCTCATCATGGAAGTCACACTATCATTTATTATCTTAGCCCATGATGATAGTACATATAATATTTATTATACATTATATAATTACTATATAATAATATAATTATAATATTACATTCACTACTGAGAATTTGATTCATTTTCTAGGAGTCTCCTTAGTTAATCTGGCATATATTCAGGGCACAAAGGCAGCAAACGCTTTGAAAGGAGGATAGAAGTAATGGTTATATCTCTGGTATCTAGCAGACACTCAATAAATGTTTACTGAAGGAATTAATGAGTAAATGATAATTCACACTCACTCTGTATTTTTGCCTGTGTTCATTCAGTTAAAACTCTGGGCAGGTTTGACTCTTGCTATCTCCTTTCCTTTGATATCTTTCCTCCTATGTACAGATTTCTTGTATTTGGATTTTGTAGTTGGTCCTTCCTTCTCTTATTGTCAAAAATTATAAGAAATATCATAGTGATAAGGTAATAATAGCTATTTGCAGTTATTCCTAAACCTTTAAACATTTTAGTAGCAGGAAACATGGTAAAGGGACTAGTTGGAAGTGTGTGGGAGTGAACAAACCATAATGGACAGATTGTGAGTATCAAAAGGAGGATTCTGTCTTCCAGGATATAAGCACGGGACATAGAAGAATTAATAAATGCTTGCTGAAGAAACTTAACATTTGAATAAAGTGTTAGAAAGGCAGACAGTAAAGAAGGAAGAAAGGAAAAGCCCAGGGCTGATTAGAAATGTTTTTGATGTGAAACTACTGAATTTTAGAGTTTAAATAAATAATTTTAAATAATGTCTTGTGAGTAGCTTTGAAATTATATTACATAGAACTCTCATGTTTTAGGGATATCCCAGGAGCAGCTTGAGAACTTGGAGAGGGAACCTCTATTGTTTATGAAGAAGTAGCATGGGTACTGAAAATAGCTCTACAGAAGGCATGTCTGAACTCAAGCTGCTTCACAAACTTCCCTGAGACAAACTCCCTTGCTCTGTAGGAGGAAGGGGAGATATGAGGGGACAACTGGAGAAATCAATACTTTACAATTCTAATGATGATCATAGAAACCCACAAACATCAGGGAAGTCCAACGTGTTTGCAGAATCATTGTCAAAAGCAACTGATTTGTGATCACATCACCAAGAATTTTTTCAAAGCAAGAGACCTTATTTTCTCTTTCAGCTAGGGAAAAGGGTGAGTCTCCCAAAGATGAAAAAAACTACTTTCAAGAAGTTGCACAATATTTGGTTAATGGACCAGACAGGCAACAACTGAGGAGGCTACACCGTTTTATTTTTATAAGACTCCTAGCCTTTCTAGGAGATAGTGACCTCTTCCCAAGTATCTGACTCTCAGGTACTTCACTTGAGGGGAGGCACTTTTCTTTGGTTATCCTTATACCTCCTTTGCTTAAGAAAGACTCCCTCCTCACTTTGGGAGGCTGAGGTGGGCGGATCACGAGGTCAGGAGATCAAGACCATCCTCGCTAACACAGTGAAATCTCGCCTCTACTAAAAAAGAATATTAAAAATTAGCTGGGAGTGGTGGCGGGCACCTGTAGTCCCAGTTACTCGGGAGGCTGAAGTAGGAGAATGGCACGAACTCAGGAGGTGGAGCTTGCAGTGAGCCGAGATTGCGCCACTCTACTCCAGCCTGGGCGACAGAGCGAAACTCTGTCTCAAACAACAAAAAAAGACTCCCTCCTAAAAATCTTGGTAACTGATGTTGTCCTTTACATGATGGTTTCAAGTTGAAGTTTTAAAAAGTAATCATTAACTGAGAAATTCTGAAGATGACTTTCCCCTTCCTTTTTCTGTTGTTTAAGAAGCTCAAATTACAGGTGAGACCTCTAGCTCTCTTCCATGGCATTTGGGCTGTAGTTCATGTATAAATGCACCAAAATGAACATGAACGAAATATAACAGCATAGAGTCTTCTAACTGGGCTAGAATTAGTTGAGATAACTAGGTACGTGAATATACGTGACCTAGTGCTTATTGAATATATTGACCTACATTCTCTCAGTGAATGTTTCTCCACGCCCTGTTTAAACCTCAGACAGTCATTGCAACCCCAGTCATCTGGTTCCACGATCTAACACTGGCTTGTATTGCCTCAGAGAAAATGACAGGCACTGGGCAGGGACCCATCTGTCACTGAGATTGCTCAAACAGAGTAATGTGGATTCCCATATTTCCTGCTGTGGGAGGTTGGACTGGATGATCTTTAAGGTCATAGACTTAAAGGTTACGACTCTAAATGCCCTCGTATTCTTACAACCCCAGATTCAGTTATTTCAAATCTATATTTTGAGCCTAAAAGAAGGAGAAATGTTGTCAGATTGTGTGTGAAGCCAGAATTTCTGGCTTGATTTTTCCAAGGCAAGGCTGTAAGCCTTTCCAGGAACCACTTCCAGGAACATTTCCCCAGTGCTCAAGATTTCTAAGTGTACCTTGACAGGTTGTGAATCTCCGAGCAGAAAAAGTGGGCCCATGTCAATATCCGGGTCTTTGGGGTAGATGTTCGGCTTTACGTGATGTTGAAAGTGCCGGTAATTCCACCAGTTTGCTGACAGGCCCTGAGGAGAAGAGAGGGCTCGTTACTTGAAATAATTCTTTCCTGAAATACCCTTCACTCTCAGAGTTTTCTGCATGCATCCCCCAAGTCAAAATAAGACATCTGAGTTTCTCTAGCTTGCCTCCACTGCTGAGCCACAGCATGACTCATCGGACAGAGGCACTCATAGCTTACAAAGAAATAAATCTCTGGTCCAGAAACTCAACTTTAGGCTAACAGTCTTGGTAATGAAAATCATAAAAGCTGGTTGAAAAGAAATGTTTTCCCATCCTTCTCTTATTTGATCTTCATTAAAAAAAAAAGCTGAAGGTAGGTGGGGCAGAGAGAATTGTTTCTATTTTACATATAAAGAAGACTTAGCTCCGAGACTTTAATTAGTTCTGGGGAAAAAGAAGCGGCCCCAGGTATCTTACTTCAATGAGTGTTTCAAAGAATCATGGATCTGAAGTGATCTCCTTGGGGGGCTTGGCTCAGATCCTTGCATGTCTCGGTTTCAATGCTCTCATACAAAAATAAATGAGAATAAAAAGATTTTAGCTGATGCCAAGCTTGAGTCACCTCTGATTAGGTTGTTTGTGATTTTTTTTTTTTTTTTTTTTTTTTACCATAGAAAGTCTGAAATTTTAATAGAGCAAATAATTTGGAGGCACATCAACCTAGTTACATATACCAGATGTATAAATACTGCTGCATGTTTTGGGCAAGTCACCCAACCTCTTTGAGGCTCAGTTCTATCTCCGGTAAATAACATAAGCACATTTACGTCTGTGGGTGGTCTGGGGAGTTATGAGATGACGTATGTAAAATGTTGGCATGCTGGGATATTCAGTTTTTCCTCCTTTATGTTAATCATTTACAGAAGAATGAGCAGCCGTAGTAGTTTTTTATTGCATATTTGACATAGCTTAGCAGTCTATGCATGTACTAGTCCGCTCTGTCCAATGCAATAGCCATTAGCACAGTGGCTATTGAGCAACTGAGCACTTGAAAAGCGACCGAATAAAGACAAGCCGTAAGCATAAAGCACCTACTGGATTTTGAAGATTCAGTATGAAAAAAGGAATGTAAAGTAGTTCAATAATTTTTACATTGATTACATGTTGAAATAATACTATTTTGAATATATGTGGAGTAATAAAGTTACCTTTTAAATATGACTATTAGAAAATTTGAAATGCAAGTGTCATTTTAATGTGGTGCATTGTATTTCTGTAGGAGCATGCTGGTCTGGACACCAAACATCTGTAGTAGAAGGGGATGGCTCTTTATTTGAATATCTGTGAGCATTAGCATTGTGTTTCCATAGTCTTCGTTGCAGTTGTTTCTTAGCAACCCCCATCTCATTCCCAATTAACATTCCCTAACCTTCTTGCAACCCTCCAGCCTGAGTCTATATCCTGAATCATATGCCTGAATGGGGACTTTCCAAATATATATATATGTGTGTGTGTGTGTGTATATGTGTGTGTGTGTGTGTATATGTGTGTGCGTGTGTGTGTGTGTGTGTGTGTGTGTATATATATATATGGATCTCTCTCTCTCCTCCTCACCCAGAAGCGGGGGGGACAGAAATTGTTAAGTATAGTTTGTGACACATTGAGCTTGAGTATCATGAAATATCATATATACATGATATATATGTGATATATATATTTTATATATATATATATATGGATAGTTCATGATGCTTAAGCCTCAACATGTCACAAACTATACTTAACAATTTCTGTCCCCTCTTCTAGGGCCCCATCAGTGCTCTGTGTTTCTTCCATCAAATTGCATACGATGGGTACAAAGTTACAGCTAGACAGGAAAAATGAGTTTGGCATTCTATTACACATTAGGGCAAGGGTCCCCAACCCCCAGGTCACGGACCAGTACCAGTCTGTGGCCTGTTAGAAACTGGGCTGAATAGCAGAAGGTCAGTGGCAGGCAAGCAAGCGAAGCTTCATCTGTATTTACAGCTGCTCCCCGTCATTCTCATTACAGCCTGAGCTCTGCCGCCTGTGAGATCAGCTGCAGCATTAGATTCTCACAGGAGCACGAATCATGTTGTAAACTGCACATGTGAGGGATCTAGGTTACATGCTCCTTATGAGAATCTAATGCCTGATGATCTGTCACTGTCTCCCATCACCCCAGATGGGACCCAGTAGTTGCAGGAAAACAAGCTCGGGGCTCCCGCTGATTCTGCATTATGGTAAATTGTATAATTATTTCATTATTACAATCTAATAATAATAGAAATAAAGTGCACAATAAATGTAATGTGTTTGAATCGTCCTGAAACCACTCCCCACCCACTGGTCCATGGGAAAATTGTCTTCCATGAAACTGGTCCCTCGTGCCAGAAAGATTGAGACCCACTGCAGTAGGGTGACTGTAGCTAACGATCAGGTATTATATATTTCAAGATAGCTAGAAGAGAGGATATTGAATGTTACAACAAAGAAATGATAAATGTTTAAAGTGATGAATATGCTAACAACCTTGACTTGATCATTATACAACGTACATACGCATTGAAACATCACACTGTACCTCATAAATACATACAATTACTATGTGTCGATTATAAATAAAAATAAAATAAAATGATAAAAGATTTTTTAAATTGCATATGAGCCACTTACTCTTATAATTGTGTATTTATTCACACATTCATTATTTATTTTGAATTATGTCCTAGGTGTCAGATAGTTACTGAGCTAGGCATTTGGAACATAAAGATAAACATGATAAAATGAGGTTTCCACACTTAGGAAACATATAATCCAATGGAAGTAGTAGATAACTGAACAAGGACAATGTGATGAGATATTCTCCTTTTCAACTAAGTCCCCTGAGAGCCAATGTTTGGTCTCTTCCGCCCGCTGACTGTACTCTTTTAGCCAATGACTATCTGTGGTGGTGAGCAGTAATGTGGGAGACTGGCTTTGATTCATGATACTACGGGGAGCAGATCTTAACAGGTAAAGCTTAGAATAATGGTCAAGTAATTATGGGTGTGATCCAAATAAGCGCCTTCTCTTGGCCCCTCTTTCTGGAAGCCACTATTGCCAGAGACAAGGGAAACAAAATACTCCACAGGCAAGAGAGGATTATCAGCTGCCCGCCAAATAGGCTGCCCCTTCCCCAAATTCTAGGCAGGAACAACCCTGTCATTCCACATTTCCACGTTAGGTCTATTCTCAGTGCAGTAGAAAAAGGGCAGGGAACATCACACACCGGGGCCTGTCTGGGGCGGGCGGCTCGGGAAGGGATAGCATTCGGAGAAATACCTACTGTAAATGACGAGTCGATGGTGCAGTAAACCAACATGGCACATGTACAGCTGTGTAACAAACCTGCAGGTTGTGCACATGTACCCTAGAACTTCAAGTATAATAATACTACTAATAATAAAAAGAACAAACCCAGGCTTTGGAATGAGACGAACCTGAATTTAATCCCTACTTGGCTATCTATTTAGGTGTGTGACTTTGGGCAATTTCCTCATCTATAAAATGGATGAGGCCTCTGAGGGGATTGCAGAAAATAACATGCTTGACACTTTCCTTTTCCTTACCAAAATAAAATGTTTTAGGATGTCATCATGGAATCAGTATAGGCCAGATTTTCTAGGAAGATCTTAATTTCAAATGTTCTGTCCCACTATCCCTGTAATGAGACTTGATTCTTAGTTTTTTTATATGTGCATACTGACGAATAAGAAAAATATGCTACAAGGAGTCCATTTTGATTTTAGTATTTCACAGTAGTCCAAAATGTATGCAAACATTTCATGGTTTATTTTGGGAAGTGCTCTTTTATTGTGCAAACACTGGAAAGACCAGAGCATATATATTTTTTCTCAGTTGGTGAATGAAAATTCTAAAGAATCTCCATATTGGTGCCTTTTGCAGGAGGTGGTTGGGGGAGGCAATTGACATGAGGTTAAGTTTTAAACTTTAAAATTGTATGCATGTCTAAGGCGGGGATGTTGCTGTTTACATTATAATTTTCTTTGTTACACCCTCCCTGCCCACCTTTCCTCTCCACAGGTAGTTTTCTCTCCTGCACATAGTTGAAGCCAATGTTCATTTTGCTCATGAGTCACTGTTTTTGCCTGCAAAAAAGGCAGAGTACACTTGATTTGCTTTTAGAGCCATTTCCAATTTTCTTACTCAGTTCACAAGTCATCAAGGTTATATTCATTTCGACTAGTGCAAAATTGTGTCTGGAGACACAGCTTAGGTAGAAATAGCTGTGTACAAATCTGGATCAATGGGAAACCAGTGATTTATTTTTTAAAGTGCCAGCATGGGTGGGGCTGATCTGAAATATTTCACATACTGGCACTGAATCCACTGCCAGCTACCTCCAGGGCAGATGAGTCTTACCTTTCCTCTGACTCCTCAGAACAGAGGAGGAAAAATGGGCTGGCCTATTACCTGAAACTCACAATAGCGTAAGAAACCGCCTCTGCTTTTATTCTGTGGTAGGTATCTCTGAGTGAATTCAGAAACAGCCTCATCTATCTCACGATGGTGAAGAGAGGGTGGAATAGAATGCCCCTAGGAATTTTCTGGTCAAATGTGACCTGTCACATGAAATAACAACCTATTATTCATTCTAACTATTTTGGGGGACACGTCTCAAAATCCAACTCTGTGTTATCCGATTGACTTAAGGCTCAAACTGATCAGTGGGAGAGAGGGTAGGTAAAAGTAGGTGATTCCAGGTACCTTGCAACTCAGTGATGATGTGATTTATCTCCATCTTCTTAATACTTCAGTGATTAAACATTTTTCTTATTGATTCTGAGTCTTCATTTTGATTATGGAAAGACTGTTCCTAGGTTAGTAACCACTAACCATTATTAAGCATTTCCTGTATGCTAGACACTTGGTTGAGCATGCCACATGAGCATTGAGTATAATCCTAACAACATCCTAATCAGGTTGAAGCCATCGTCTATCCTCATTTTACAGTTGAAGAAACTGAGGTTCAAAATCATTAAGTAATTTGTTCAAAGTGACCCAGCTCGTGAGTGCATGAATTCTCACAGAAGGCGGGTTCGTTTTTGCAGGTTCGAATCACCTGGGGAACTTTCAAAAAACACTGATGTCTAGACTCTACCAGAGATGAATTTAGAATATCTAGAGATGGTGCTTAGGCATCAGGGCTTTAAAAAATAAGTTCTTGAGGTGGCTCCAAATGATAGCCAGCATTGAGCAGCTCTGCTCCAGTGCCTGCAGTATTTAGTGCTGTGCTATGAATTCTCCACTGACTAGTTTATGGCCATTGGCTTAAATACTTAACCCCTCTGAACATGAATTTCAACTGAAAACTAGGAGTACTATGTCCTCATGTCATTAGAATTACTTGAGAAAAAAGCCTAACGGGACTAGTTCTGAACCCGGCACTTGTCAGGCTCACACAATGTGAGTCCCCATCTGTGCTTCTGTATCATTTGCTGTGAGTAGTTACTGCTCACTACTCTCTGTGGGCCTGACTCCAGCATTGTCTTCACTCTTTCATTAGTTGGCTACTTCCAAGCCACTACGGGCTGGGGAAGCAGATAACCAGAATGAGATATAGGTATAAAATCACTGTGTTAGGGAAGAACTAATAGGCTCTGAGTCAGTGCCCGTGGGTTTTTCCTAAGGGGTCCTGGTTTGAACACAAGGATTTGGTTTAGTGGAAGGCTCACAGGCATTTGCTTCCCTTCTAGGCCAGAGTACATAGTGACCAAAACCTAGAAAGTTCTAGAAAAGCAGAGATCTAGTTTAACTCCTAGTACTACTGATGGGAATACTGAGGGCCAGAGATAGAATGTGATTTACTAAAGATCACACAATGAGTACAGTCAGAGCCAGGGCTGGAAGCCATGCTTGGAAGTCCTGCACTGTTAACTGGTTCATTCATTCATTCATTCACTCACTCATTCTTTCTTTTTTTCATTCCTTCATTCAACAAATGCTTATTGAGGCGCTCCATGCGCCAGGCAGTCTCCTAGGTGCTGCATTGCAGTGGTGCATAGGACAGTGTACCTGCTTCCTGGAGCCCAAGTAAGCGGGGATAAGACCAGCTGTCATATCACTACCTGCTTTTTCCAGCAGTCTGGATTTTGCAATCCTCCACTCTTGAACAGAGCCACCTGGCTTTTCCTGACTAGTCTTTCTGTTCACTAGTATCTGTTTTGCATCTTTTCCTTTATTTCTTCATAGCTGCCCCCTCCTTGCCCCCACCCCAGGACTAATCAGGCTTGCTGGTCTCCCCTAGCTTCCCAACAATAAACCTTCACATCCCTTCTAAGAATATTCCCACTTATGATTCCACAATGCACATCGTCATTTTTCGAGGCACACACTTTCTTCTATGAGGTGATTCCTTAGGGCAGGGGGATGCCAGGGATTCAGCCAAAGAGTCTACCAGGGCAATACAAAATATAAGAGTTTCTTAAACAGAACTAAATGAATCCTCACAAAAAATTTAAAATTCTCATTTCACACATATTTTATGATGTTGTATTATATATGAGTATATATTATCTACCTTGTCAGTACACTGACATTTATTTGTGGGGTATCGCAAACATTTTTTACTGATATCCATGCACAAACATGGGAACCACTCCTTAGGGACTCATGTTCAGGAATCCCCCTCATGCTCCCTGACGTCCCATACCTTGAGATGGCACATCACAAATTTATGCATCACGTGATTCCACTTGGACTTCTTAAATATGGAAAGGTGCCCCACGTCATGCTGCAAAAATGAGCTCTGGGCCTAGGAGAGATGAAGTTACTGTTAGAGAAATTGGGACCCTAACAAGAAATCAATCAATGAGTCCCGTATTAGATTCACAACCTTATTTGAGAACAGTGGGTGGTCTTGTTTGACCTCCAGCCAAAATTAGTTTCTATCTCCCAGACACATCCTGCCTGATCTTTCCAACTTTTATGCCTTTGTTGTCTCAGCCTGCAAAGATGTCCTTGTCACTTTCAAAGGTTTCCAGGATGGAGTGCAAAGACCATGGTCTTTGGTGTCAGACAGATTTGAATTCTAAACTGTTCTTCACCATTAACGAGCTTCACGACTCTGGGCAAGTTACTCGGTAGCTCTCACCTTCAGTTCTTCATTTGATAAAAGGGGCCACTAATACCTGACTCACGGGGTTGTTGTACTACTTATGTATATGTAAAGTGTCCAGCTTATGCTATGCACTAAACAAATATTTGTTTCCTTTCTTGTTTCCAAAAGTCACTTTTCAAGAAATAAAACAAGATGATTTAAGAAAAAGAATTAACATCCAGAATTCTGGAACCTGGAAACACACTGCAGTTAATTCTCTACGAAACCCTTTCCAATGATTCTCATGAGAATTAAATGATGCTCTTTTCTGCTCCAACAGTACATGCTTGTTCCTTTCCTGAGGATTAATAGCATTGAATTGTGCCAGGCAGTGTGTTTAGCTGTTTGTGAAGGACTATTTCCTCCACTAGATGAGTTCTCTCAGGAGCAGGGAGCATGTTGACTTTTCCTTTGTATCGACAACATGGTATCATGCTCATAGAAGGCTATGTTCAGAGATTCATACTTTATTCAACAAAGATTTATCAAATGCCCTGCTAAGTGTCAGTTGCTATTTGTCATTTATGAAGGAACTCACACGTTCTTATTCTCTATAGGATATAACCTCTGCCCTTGAAGAATTCGTGGTCTGATGCATTGATAAATGTTGATTGGTTAAAGAATGAAAGATAAATATGCGTGTTGCATGGCAAAGAACAGAACTTAAATCACTGAGATGGTGGGGATAAAACAGGGCAAAAAGCAGCAATTGTCATTAATTAAACATTTACCATAGGCCAGACACTGTGCTTTATGTTTTACACATTTGCCTGATCAGTCCTCCTTAGCATAATTCCACATTCATTATTATCCTCACTTTAGAGAGGAGAGAACCAAAGCCCAGTGAAGCTTGGTCACTTGCTGGGAAGTGCCTGACATTGATGAGTACCTTGCCAAGAAGTGTCAGGCAGCAGCTGGCACCAATCTAAAGAGAGAAGAAATTCTGAGCCTTTTTATGACGACGCTGCCTGGGCTTAGTATACCTGCTTACCTGAGAAATTGTGAGAAGAAAGGAAATGAATATAGTAACAGGCCAGCCACTGCCAAAATGATACAGTAGTAGCCACGCCAGCATTTCCAACATTAAGATCTGGGCAAAGTGAAGAAAGAAGAACCCCAGGTTGGCATGGAACATGTTCATAGACTCTATGATCCTCCGCAATTCTTGGAAATCTTTCACCAACTGTGACTATGAAACAAATATTCAAAGAGTAAATTAGCTCCTTCAGGGGAAAGGGAATACAGATGAACATAATTAATAATTTATTTTATTAGTTTTGTATACATCTCTATTAACAGAATTTTATTAATACATTTAATTGTCCAGAATTAAAACCCCAAAACAATGAACCAGCAAATAAAACCTTCAAAAAAGTTTATGAAAAGTTTTTGTTGTTTTCTGCAGAAGTGAAAGATGAATAATGACTTGTAAACTGTCCTAAACCTGTTATGGAATTCAGAATTAGATTTTTTCAGGGGAGGGGGAAGGAGAGGAGAGTGCGGTAAAGAGATACGTACGCCTAACAGTCGCCTTTTAAACCACCAGGATTATTTCAGGTGTTGAGTGAGCTCTGGTTCTGTTTGGGGGAACTTGGTCATCTATATGGATCTGTGTTACCATAGTTACTGGTATAGTTTACAAAGTACTTTCCAGGTCATCAGTTGCTTAATGTGTGGAAAGGGTTATTTCATGGAAGATGGAGATCGTAGAACAATGTAGTTCACCTAGATTAGCTCTCAGGATGAATTTTCTGAGAGCTGCTTAGTGGATACCCCAAAACAAGGCAGGGCTTATTAGTGTGTGTGTACTCAGTTGGAGAGGTCTCGTTTAAGGGCCCTGTGTGTGTGTGCATGTGTGAGTGTGCATGCACAACATCAGCATTGGTTTACAAACTTGCACAACATATTGGGGGGCACACAAGGTTGGAAAGAAATATCTCTTGGCTTATTGACTATTATGGACTCGAAACTAGGACAGCTGGGAAAGTGACCAGGTTATGAGAAAGATAACAGCGTTGTACAGATGTAAGAAAGGAGAAACGTTAGAAACAAAATAGAAAGAGCTATGAAAATAATTCTAGAAGCCAAAAGTTTCAAAATTCACAGACACAACTTTTAAAAGACCCATTGCCTGGCAAAAGTTCTGGATAGGCTCATCTCCCAAGCCCCATCAATCTTACAATTCTTGTGGCCACAGATTATTTTAATCATTAATATTAACTTGTTATCTCTAGGGTGCCTCCAGCCTGGTCATCTTTTGCAAAACATTTATTGCAGAGTTGAGGGAGATCAGCAAAACCCAGAAGAATGACTGACTTGAAGTTATCAACGAGTCAGTGACAGGTGGTGAACTTAAACCTACACCTGACACCGAATTTTATGCTCAAATACTAATTTTCTATATACAGCAAGTAAAATATCCCCACAAATGTATTAAGGAAAATTTATGGTAGACCTTTATCTCTGGAGACCAACACTCTTTCAGATAATGATGATCTGATAGGTCTCAGTCCTTAGTGGGATTTTATTTTTCTTAACAGAAAAAATTTAGGAAAAACAATAAAGATTTGCATCACCTTCAATTTTTAACCTAGAGCTACCTGACCCAAATGATGGGGACATATCTGAAAGTTTTAAAATGACTAGTACCATCATCAGTTCATGATTATGATAATAAGTAAAATTTATTGAGCATTTACTGTGTTCCAGGCACTGTTCTAAGCACTTTCAATGATGACTTTAATTCTTTCAATTGTTTTCCCAATAACTCTCATAAGGTTGGTACCATTGTTTTCGGTATCCTTATAGGGGGAGAAACTGAGCCAAAAGAGGTTTGGGAACTTGCCTAGACTCACACAATTTGAGAATGGCAGGGTTGGGGCGTGAGTGCAGGCTGTCCATCCTACCAACCCACTCTTCGGAACAGAGCTGTGCTGTGGGATAAACATGGGCCTAAAGAGTGAGCTTAACTATTAGTCTCAGATTTGCCCATAACCAGTTCTGTGTCCTCAGATTAGTCCTGCTCCCTTTGTGAGTCTGTTTCTTCATTTTTCAAAGAGGGAAAAAGTCCTTGCTCCCGCTGCTTCACAGTGGTTTATGGATCCACACATTGTACAAATTATTTCAAAGGGCTTAAGACTCAGGCAAATGTAAGCTATTACAAAAAATAAATTTCAAAAAATGGAATTAATCAATATTAAGTAAAATTCCTCTTAGCGTTATGTAAAACCATCCCAATGAGTTTTTAGTCCTATGGAGACTCTGTCCTTTAGAAGACAGTATTCATGTAGTCAAAATATTAAAGAAAGAATGGCATTTATCCTTGGGAATACCTAAGGGATTGGAGACAGAGAGAAGTGATCTAGAGTCTCAGCTCTTTGATACACCAGCTGTCAGACTTTTAGAAAGTAATTTATTTTCCCTGAATGATAATCTCCCCAAATTTACAAAGGCTGTGGTTAGGATACAGCGACATCTTTCAATCAGTAGCTGTTTTTGGAGTTTCTACTACATGTTGATCCTGTGAAAGGAGGTCTTCAGGACACAGGGATAAGAAAAGTGGACAGTTTCAGCTCTCATGCAACTTAGTTGGGCTGGGAACATAGACATAGACATAAAGCATAATTACAAGCAGTCAATGAAAAGGAAATTATATCCATAAGTTCCCTGGCATGAAGTAGGTGCTTAGAGACATGAAATTACTGTTTGATGAAGGGCCAACAATTTCCTTCTTTTGCTTCACAAAGGTTTAAGAGTTCTGATGATCTAAAGAAAAAGGCATTGTTTGGAAATACGTGGACTCCACCCGTTGACTCTACTGTGGTCCCAGGCTTCACAGAAAACTGTTAACTGGCTTTAAAATATGCCTTGTCTCCATCCTTCTACACTCCTGGATCCTGACATCTCACTCACATTTTTGTGTCTTTCCTGGCTATGCTCTCCTGGGGCAAGTTCTCCAATGAGCAGTGGCTTCAGGTACAACTGCACAATGTCAGGCTCTGGATGCATGGCCCTGAAGACATCCTGTAAATCAGAGATACCTGTTAGAGGCTTCGAAGAGACATGCTTATCCACAGATTAGTTCCTTTACTTATCTTGTCCTGTGCTCAATCTGGGAATCAGCACAGATCTCATTGCAGAGGATTTGCTTGTAACTCCAAGTTGATGTTTCAAGTTGATTGATCAAAATTATCCCTGAAAACCACCTCTGCGAAAGCTTCCTGCTGGAGACCCACCTACTATGTGTACTGCTTCTCTAGGTATGACCCACACAGTCAGGGGATCCTGGAGCATTCATGAGATCATGATTTTATTTGTCACTAGAAGAAATAATGGACTTTATGGGTTGGGATAAATCTTTACAAAAGTCCAGCATCAGTGTAAATGTGAAATTTGCTCATACTATCTGAGACAGTGCAGCAACTAAGATTGGCTATGCAAATTATATCTTCCATTGAGGGCTCTCTCTGGGTTCTTGGCCAAAGCTCAGGGGAATAAGGCCCCTTGAATTAGTTAATTCTAGAGAAGGACAGGTTACAGTTGATGATGGCTTAAGGCAAAGGCATGAGAGATTATAAGAACGCAGCCTTAGAGCCCTGGGTGGTCTAAAATAGTACATCTTTGGCTAAGCTTGTCACTGAAGGAGTCTCCTCACTCTCTATTAAAAAGATGCTGTGTTGGCCTGTGCAGAGACTCGGTGACAGCCAGAAGCAGAATAGAAGTGACAAACTATATTTTTCTATCTCAGGTGCGTGTTAAGTAGCAATTCCATATGGCTATGAGAAGCAGTGATGATGCCTATATCCTACTTATGTTTGGAAGAAAGACAGTCTTCTCTTCCAGGGATTTAAATTGTTTTCGGAAAGAGAAAGATTTTCCAAGAGGGAGATGCTAGACTTGTTGCTATTATGGTTTGGAGATGGCAGCAATTAAAAATGAAGAAATATAACCAAAGTTGTAAATTGTATACATGAAGCCATACAAATTACTCTGCAGTGGTGGTGTTGCATTATACTGATTACGAAAGTGGACCCTGGAGCCAGCTTTCCTACATGCAAATTCTGGCATTGCTACTTACTAGTTAAGTAATTGTAGGCAAGTCTCTTGAATTGCCTGTGATGCTTCTATATTCTCTTCCCTAAATGGGGGCGATAATAATAGCCGGCCAATTCATAAAGTTATTATGAGGATTAAGTAAATTAATAATAATGCCAATGGCATTTACTATGTGTTAAATACACATCAGATATATTTCTTATGTGTATACCTCCACTGATAAGAACCCACTACCTACCTTCTCTTCAATATTCAGAGGTTTCCTCCCTTTACCTCAATGCCTAATGTGGAGTGAGCTTTGAATTATATTAGAGAATATAATGAGTGCTACATTTTCAAATACTAAATCAACTTTAGATATATCCAAGAATTACATAGGAGCCTACTTATTATTGTAGTATTATAATAATGCTGTACTATAATATAATTACTTATGGAAGTAAGAAGTTATTTTTATAATTAACAAGGTTAATTAGAAGGATACAATATCAACTCTTTAGACTTA